TGCTCTTGTATTGCTGCCATCTAAATCTGCTAAGCTGTAGTTTGATTTGCCGCTTCGCGTTTCTTTTTTTATCCCACTCCTGACACCAATTTGTTACGTCTCTGTTCGTTATTTAATTTTCCGTATAATTTCTTTCCGAAGAAACTATAATTCACAATGAACAACTCATGTGCTCGACTCAATCGTCAATCTCTGTCTGCAGTTTAATTACATTGTTGCCGTCAGTTCTTACCAGTCTTATGTATACAAGAATACCGCATATCTAGTAACCTACCGAGACTTCAGGAAGGGGCAAGATCCTTCTAGAAGTTCATGACGTGTTACTAGCGTCACGTGACTTCCGCTGTCGTGACACTATGTTACATTTAAACAATTTTGGAGCTTTAATACGTTTTTACTGTACATTTCGTCACGTCCAGTCATGCTCTACCTGATGAACATCAATCTTTAAATGAGCTTTGCAGTGTAATTCTCATTGCAAAAGACCAAGTCGTAAAGCTGTCACATCTAAACCACACCCATCCTTCTTTCTTGCTTTCTATAAGCCATCTAATTTTTGAAAACAGATTTCAACAGTCCGGTGATACAGAAATCCATAGGCAACTTAGCCGACATGTCTTTATGTGGAATATGTCATGGAAGCAACTTGTGTACATGTGACTTGTATTGTTCTTCAGATATAATTTCTTCTTGGTAATGCTTCGTATTGTTGAAGTATTTTGCCACTGACCTTTTCATCTTACACAAGACATCGCAGTTTCTTTAGCATGGTAGAGATATGTCTTACTGCAGGTCTCTTTATGGATGGTCTTATTTCCCGAAATTGATTCATAATTCTTTTTCCCAATGTACAGATAATAATCTCATCTTGTTAATTACAAGTTCCCCATCTGAACACATCATTATGACCTGGGTGTATAGATATTATGTATATTATTAGAGATCCTTCAAAAAGCGATCAGTCATCTGATTTGCATGTTGAAAGTCGTTTTAATATAACGTACTCAGCCATTTATTCTATAGAGACAGGTAGAATAGAATATAAAGACTCATTATTTCATACTATGCAATATATTACTTAAACTCTTAAACGGGCACATTGTGATTTAGAACTTTTGTAGTTAAGAACGAAGACACCAGAAGTCGACAGACATTTAAGTAAAAGTAGAAAGGCTAACTCTATCGCTGAGGGTAAAACATAAATTTATAGAGGAGCTATAAATTTCAATTACCCAAATTGTACCCACGTAACGAGAATTCACAAGTTCTTCAGTTTCGGTTTCGTTATGAAAGATATTTCAGCCGTTCAATGACAACCACAGAAGGAGAGTACATCGTATTTATCATATAAGAAACAGTAGACAGTACACTGATATAAAATTTGTTCTAAGTATGCTGTTAAATGGAAGGAAAGCAAGAACTGACTAGGACACACAAAGAACAACTTTTGTTTGAACAATGGAAGGAGGACAAATACTGGTGTTACGTATCTGCTCGTTTGTTAATTTCCAGTATAAATTCTTTCCGATGAACTTGAGCGATACAAGTCCTTTCTT